TCATACCGTGGTAGGTAGTACGGTAGGTAGGTCATACAGGCCTCGAGCGGTCCATTTGTCGAGTCGACCGACGGGACTCACACAGGCCTACCAAAACAAATTGTGCAGACTCCAGAGCAAAGCCGATGCAATCGAAAATCCTTGTCGAAACGCTGAAGTAATCGGCGGCATACGGTACGGTAGCGATCTCGTAGTACGTGCGAAGAAACTGACATGCGACGACCTAGTATGTCGACATGACAAACAGATTTCGCAATCTCTCACCGGTATGATTTGGATGAACCGGTCATGCAGCAAATGATTGGATACCGCCCCGGGGTGCACTGTGTCCGGCTAGGCCGCGCAGCTAGGCTCCTAGCTGCCGCGCGCGCCGCCACGCGGCATGCGGCTCTTGCCTCTTGCGCCAGTGGCCAGTCGGACCGGGCCCGGGCGGGCTGGTGCAGTTCGGGGACGAATCCTGCGCTGTGCTGCGTCGTTAGTCGGACTTCAGATCCGTAGTCGGACTGACGATCAATGTGGTTGCAGCAAGTCGGACTAACGGCGCCCCAGAAGCCAGGAACGAGCTTGTGAAGTCCGACTAACGAGCAGCTAGAGTCGTCCGATCTGATGACATGGCCACAAATTCAGTGGCTCAGATGCTGGCTCGGATGGAACCGGTCTGAGGGGTTAAACAGGGTTTCAAAGGAAAACCTGAAGGGGGTACGACGAAACCAGCTGCAACTTTTGAATTAATGAACGGGCAAAAGTGCCTGCCACGTCATATTAAGTTGACATTCAATTTTTAAAATTCAAACAAAACCTTGCATAGGCTGGTGCTGGAAATAGCACAACTGCACAAGTCCTCATGGGCTCAGGAGAAGGTGAGGAAGAAGAAGGCGCTGGCACCTACTTGGCTGCAAAAGGGCTTGCAGCCTCTCGGAAAAGCAATGCCGTTTGCCTTTGGTGGTGGCAATATTGCTGATGACAAGGGGCAAAGTTCCTGTTGGCAAATGCAACAAGGGGCATGGGCTTGATCGGATTTAGCGGCTACGGAATGCTGGAGAGGCCAAGCACATTTTGTGACTTGTGCCTGCCAGACGGTCTGGGCGCGTGAATTGCTGTGCCATGCATTTACAGACTGGTTGGGCGGTCTTAAAGCGCCTGCATAACTGCAGAGCAAGGACTGCAAATGTATGGATGTGGCAAGGCCACATAACACTCTCTGGCTGTCGAGGTAAGTCGCCATGGCCTGACTGCAGGTGCATCACCGAAAGATGCATCAGCGCTGATCAATGACGGCAAGGAGCACATTTTGCGACCTGTCCGCCAGAACACAAAGCATTGGAAAGCTGCAGTTACAGCTTTGTGTTGTGCAGACGAGATGCACGCTTTCTTCAGCAAAGTTATCAACGTTGACAGGATGGCCAAAAGATTGAGTGCTGTCCATTACTTTAGCCGTCTAGAGCGTAAAACCAAAACTAATGACGCTGCTCTAGAAAGTGCTGTAACAATAGAACACGCAAGCTTCAGAATTGCACGCACATGCTTTTTCAAAGATGCAGGCTCCCTTCAAAGTTTGCTTTTTTGAAAAGCACTTTGATATTGAAGCTATGGGATATCATACTGGTTGCTGTGATGGCTGGCTCTAGTTGCACCTTGCTTGAGCAATCAAATACTGGTGGTATAGTGTCACTGTCCGAGGTTCAAGTCTTGTAGTGAGAATCCGCCGTGCAGAAAGGCCCTGCAGGATCTTTAAAAGTAGTGGGTGCAATCTGATCGCTTTCACTTGTGCAGATGTCGTGGCCCAAGCTCTATTGGGTTTGCTGCTGTGATGAAGGAGACCGGCATCAATGGTTACCTGGGGTTTATATCTCTAAGCGCCACCAAGCTACCCGCAATTTTCAACTGGAAGGTGACCAGAGTGGCCGCCATCGAGGAGAGCTTACTCAATCCCTGCATGCCTGGCTGATCATCGACTGAGAGGTAAGTCCAAGTCTCAATTGGTAAAACAAAGCCATGCTTATACCGAAAGCTCAATCTGATCCACTTCATTCTTTAAAAGCAATCTTGCTCGACCACGTCATCGTTGTAAATAAGCAGACACCCATGCTACATTGGGTGCTGGATGCATTCACCCTGTTGCGTCGGGACTGGTTGGCGCTCCTGCATCCGTTTTCGTGAGTGTCAAATCTCAACACGTGTCTGATTGGACGGGCCGAGCGGCTATTCAAGTGCAAGTTTCAACTATTCCAGCTTTCTTTGATGTAGCTGAATTCATCATCAACCCCTGATCAATGTTTCTCGATCTTATTCTGCAAGTCCAATGGACCAAAGTAGGTCTTCAATCAACGATGCACTTTGGCAGGGTTCTTTGGTCTTTGAAGCATCTGAGCAGCACTTTAGATGCAAGCCTCCTACCCTAGTTTCTAGCGCCTGGCAGATTGCTCTGTGTAGTTGCGTGCCGCTTCTCGATGGATGCGCAAGATCTTAAAGCAAAGTTGCATCGTTATTTCTCGGCAGCTGCATGTAACCGTAGCAGTACTCATCTTGTATATGAGTCGCTGCTTGAACAGCAGAATCAATGCGTCACTCCTTCAAAGGCAAACGCTGATACTGCAAGTGACCTCACAAGATGAAGTGAGGGCACTTTGTCATGACGTACAGTCTCGGCGCTGTAGCATGTCGATTCCGAGCTCATGCAATGGTTCGAGGCTACATGTAGACACGACAGCCATGTGTGGCGGTTTGCCCGATTGCTCCTTAGCGGTGACAACCACAAGGGGGGCGACACATGATTCCGACTACAACAAGAACTGCGGCCTACATTACCCCTAGTCTCCATTAGCATAATTAGAGCTGTGTAGCTGGGACAACAATTCACTTTTTAGCCTCATTTTGGTATCATCGAACGGTGGTCCGATCGTGATATGTAGGCCTCTACATCAACCGTCGATTTGGCTTCAATTCGGAATTACCTAAATCTGGGGTTCACGAAATATAGCTAAACCGACCCGAGTTCGATACTCAGTGTTAACCATATAAAACGGTACTTTATTGGTTAATACAATGCTTGCCTCATAGCTAGTCCGATCTAGTATGCGGTTAGTTAAGGGTTATCAACATCCATACAACACACATTGCTTGTACTTACCCGGTTGTATGCTAGCACTCTTAGAACGCCTTTGCTACAAGAGAGCTTTCAACCAAGTCTTAGGTATCTACTTGCAAGTGACCTTGAAGGAGAGGAAGGAGCCGCTTCTTTTGGAAGGGCTGCCCATTGAAGTAAAGGTATTGTCTCCGGTGCTTCTTATGTGTTCTCATTGATACATGTGGTTTCTTAGCATGATAGATCATTCTCCGGTGACCTTGTCTTAAACCATTGCCTCCGTGCAAATGCATGTCCTGAGAGACCGCCCCGGTAGCCACGAGCCCGGGAGGCTTTCTCCTACGACTTGCAAGTAGATCATGCTTTGGTTTGAGCTTGGCTGCATTGCGGAGCTAGTTGGGTTGAGGTGGCATGGATTTTAGACGTTCCGGCACTCCGACTTTTACGTAGGGTTTCCTGTGTGAAAGGAGACCAAAGGCTGATTTCAGGGACAGCGGTACACGTGACACCTTACGGACCAGCAGGGGCACCTCAGCGGGTTGCATCTTGTGCGTTGACAGGGCATTGGCCGCGTTGCATGATTTCAGACCTTTGAGTTACGAGGCAGGAAAATTCTGATTTTGGAGCCACGTTACGTCAGGAAGTGCCGTAAGACAGCCAGGGTTTTGCTTGGTGTTTTACTGCACATTACCGCTTGGATCGGGGCGTTACGGGCTGATTTGCCAATGTTGCATTTTGCTGAGGGCAGACTTTCAGATCCACGCCGCTGTTCTTGCGCTCCTGTTTGAGCAGCACTTTGACAGCCTTGTGAAGGTGCATGCTTGTGAGGGACAGGCGCACAACTGCTTAGCATAATGGTGCCTGACTAAGGATGCATAATTGAGCACAGGTCTGAACCCTAGCGCGCAGCGCGCTGTAGCTGACCGTGCGCCATTATGGCAGTCCTTAGCAATGCAGGATGGTGGTGCCGGAGTGTGGCTTCATGGCTACAACGAGAAGAACGAGCGTAACGCTGAGCCCACCAAGGAGGTGTTTGACGTTGAGCTTGGTCTCCGCTTCCTCGGCACTCAAGACGAGCTTGAAGGTTTTCGCGAGCGCCAGCGCATCATCAACAAGTCCAAGTCTGACGGCATCTACGTGGCGCCGCCGGAACAGGAGCGCGGGGTTGAGGACCCCATGCTTGTGGACTCGCGCGCGAGTGCTGCTTCCGGACTTGCCGTTAGTCTTGAGGGAGGAGGGAGTGGTTTGCATCGTGACGTGCTTGGTGTACCAGGGACAGAGCTTGTGCTCCCACCTGAACCCACTTACAACTCTGCTGCTGCCCAGCAGGCTAAGAAGGACAAGAAGAAGCGGGCCAAGCAGAACCAGGGAGCTGCAGCACC